GGCAGTATGGGTTTGTTTCTGGACCCTCAGTTCTATTCCACTGGTCTGTCTGTCCATCCGTGTGGTAGTACCTCATGCTAAATTTCAAGTATACGTTATACTAAGACATTTTAAAATAAACACATAGCCAGTAAAATTGTGAGTTCTTGTGCCGCCTCAAATCACCTCACAGACTGCTGGTGGTACACTTGTCACACTTAGAAAACACTATCTCTGCACATTTTTAGGAAATATGTAGTTGCTAATCATTGTGTAGCAAACCAAGGCCCTGATGCTCATTGTTGCATTTATTGAAAATGCTTGGCAGAAAGCCTTTAGCGGGTGGGGTAAGAAGACGTGGAGGGAAGTACATAGGTATCGGGCAGAATGGTGAAATACAGAGATAGCTGCCTTTATTGTATTAATTTTCTGAAAATTATTATTTAGGGGAATGTCCAGTCTTTCTGTCCCATGACGAAGACAAAGGTCTTAGTTTTAAGGAGATTATGCCTTAGTAAATGTTAAAGTTATTTATTGTAGACCTTAGCATGGTATATGTCAGCCCTTTATGCCTTTATCACTCGGGGACGTCCCTGGGGTGCCACGGAGCTTGGAGGGTAACAGACAATGCAGGGATTGCAGTAATGCTGGCTGGCCGGTATGGAACCCCGGTTTACCTTCTGGGGCAGGGGTAGCAGGCTTTGTCTGTAGCGCCAGATGGTAAATGTTTTAGACTTTGTGGGTCTTAAGGTCTCTACTGTAACTCTGAATTGATGTCGCAGCCCCAAAACTGCCACAGTAATACATAAACCAGTGAGCGTGGCTGAGTTCCATGAAACTCTGCTTACCAGAAAGGCTAGGCCCTAGTTAGTTGACCCCAATCTGGAAGAAAAAACAGGAATGAAAAGTAAAGTTGCATATTATAGCACTTTACTTTGGGGTGAACCTTCTATTGATATATAACATACAGAGAAGAATAGAAATTATGTTCAGTTCAGTGAATTTTCAGAGCAAGAACTTTCTCATATAATCAGCACCCAGATTATATGCGTTATATTAATAATTCATATAATTATTTATATAATTTCTTAGGTTAAGAAATGGGGCGTTACCAGCACCCTAGAAACCCCCATGATGCTCCGTCCAATCAGTACCCTCGTAAGACTAACCCCTGTCCTGATATCTCACAGCCTAGATTAGTTTTGCCCATTTCACTTCAGTTTTACCTAAAACTCAGCTGTGCTAAAACCTGAATGCTGACAAATGTGGGAGGAGCAGTAGAAAATGGGAGAAAAGAAAGTAGAAAGGAATTTTTAAAAAAGTAGAAATGAGGGGAAAGAATGGTGGAGATTAGGCAAGGTGGTACCGATTTGAAGTAGGCGGGTAACTGTCAGACTTCCCAGACGCCTGCTTGGTGACTTCAGAGAGCACTGTGGTGTCAGGGTGACAGAGTGAGAGCAGGTGGTTGATGGTTAAAGATCTGGGTTCTTGGAGGAATGTAGGGAATGATGGAAAGAGGGAAGTGAGGCTAGTGCCTGTTGAGGGCAGAGGATGGGGAGAGCAACTCTATTTTGGAAAGATTTTTATTCAAAACAAAATAAAAACAGGTTAAAAGTTTGGGGTTTAGTTACTTTAGAAATTGAAAGTGCCTCATCAGGATTTATGGGTAGCTGAGATCTTAAATGCACAGTGCTTAAGAGTTTCAGTCGAGAGATGCGAATTTGAGTTAAATCCCTGAATGCTATAAATGCAGTAGGTTTTGCTGGAACTTGGTGTCACATCGTAGGTATTTTGCGTGGAAGAGATCCACCTAGGTTCTTCCAGTTGGGGACGTGGACGACCTTTGCCATGCAGGTAAGCTGGCTGGTCTGATGTGCTGGGCCCATTCTGGGGAGAGCAGTTTGAAAGCCAGCTCATCTTGTCCCTGGCGTTACATGCCAGGCCTGCCTGTGGGTAGTTACCATAGGAGAGCGTGGTCTGGAGTGATGGGTAGGGTATTGAGTAGCAAGGACGAGCATTAAAGAGGTGGCCATGCTCCGAGACGGTTGATAGGCTTTTGTCCCCATAACACCAGGAAGCGTCATCTTGTTTAATCTGCACAACTCTGTGATAGGCTTTATCATTTTGGGGTGGTAGAGACACAACTATTATTATATACTGTTTAGAATCTCCACATAAGGAGTTAAACTGATTTTGAAACTGGTCTTCAAGTTTTTCTCAGGGAAGCAAAGGTGCTCAATTTCTGATCTTCGTGAACCGGTTTTTGTTTAATTCTGATAGTGAAGTGGAGTTCTTGGTGGCAGGAAGGGTGAGCAGTTGAGGAGAGCGGTGGCCCGGTCTGTGTGTGAGGCGACGTGTGTGTGAGGGGACGTGTGTATGGGGACAGTCTGGATCCTGCCTGGGGTCCTGCCTCCGGAGGTTTCCTTGCACCAGTGAGATCTCATGACGACTCCTCCCCGGTCCTCTCAGAGGGCAGAAGCACGTAGGTGAAAAGTACTGTTCTGGATGAGCTCTTAGATTTGAGCACTGCCAGATGCAGGTGGCTCTGTGCTTATTCCCATTCTGTCTGGGGAACCAGTAGGAATATGTGCGGCCCAACGTCTCATGTGAAGTTCTAGCTGCCTCTTAAAAATGCAGCCGTACTCAAGAGGACTGATGTGAATTGATCACACCTTAACCTAGATCCCTAACCCCTTAGAAATCCGGGGGCCCTGTGGCTGCAGAGACCGCTCACCCCCAACAGTGGACACGTGCACACGTGTGTATGTTGGCGTGTAGTTTTCTTGGAGTTGGTGAATCTCCTGAAGCCCATCCTAAGGATACGTGAATTTCATAGACCTCTTTCTGAACAAGTACCCTGGGGACCAGACATGTGAATGAACTTGAAGAGCTGGTGCCTAATTGGGGTTGTTTTGAGGCCTAGGACTCTCTCAGAAAGGGCCAACTCTGAGAAGAAAGCAAGCCGAGTGTGGGGTTAGCACCCCCCAGCCCTGGAGAAAGGCTTTGCTCTCTCAGTGCCGAGAGAAACAGCCGCGAAGCAAAGTGAAAGTCTAGAGATGCTGTGGACTTTAAAATTAGACTCAACGTGGAAACTAAAACATGTTTTGTTTTTTTCCTCCCCAGTTACACTGTAATTTGAATTGTTGTTTTAAGTTTGTCTTTGGACCAAATTAATATTATGTTATCAACAGCGGGAAGGGACCTACTGAAAAAGTCATTTAATTACATTTGGAGCTTTGTTAAAGAGCGAAGTCTTGCTGCTTAGGATAAAACTATTTTCTAGAAAAGTCTTAATTCATAAGCAAAATGACATCATTTTTCAGTTTTAAATGTACAATTTTTTATCTCGGGTTTATCTATCAATTTCAGTTAATTAAATTAATTCTCATTTTTAGATAACATATTAAGTAGTTTCAACATAGAGACTATGAAAATTGTTTCATTCTGCATCCTGAAATAGCATTTTAATTTTGCGTTTTAGAAATTAAGTTGAGGGGCTCTTATTGTATTCAGGCTTTAGGTTAAAACACTACTGAGTTCTTAACACACAGTTGTCAACAGATATTTTACTTGTGCCTTTAGTGTTTCTTCCCATAGTACAGACTTTTCAAAAGGGAATAATATATCAATTAATGTGGTCCCAGCAATCATTTTATTTGGGCCTGGGGAGTCATACAACATTTTGTTATTAGTTTGGTGTAGAGATTTTGAATGTATGGGCTTTGAATATGGATAGAGTTAAGAATAAATAGAGTAAAAATTATGTATATCTTTCCCTTAGTAGATCCACTTTGTTTCTGAATGAAGTTACAGTCTTTTGAATTACATCAGTATTTCTCAAAACTGGAATCGCTTTACTGGAGGATCTGCCAGGAGGATTTTTTGGAGCTCTTCTCGGCTTTCTCCATCCCCTTCTGCTCTGTCTCCAGCATGGTTTCACCCCACCTCCCATCATTGGAATTTCACAGCTCTTGCTTTTAAGCAGATTCTGATGTAGACCAGGAGGACTGTTGGCCAAACAGGGGACTGCAGGCCATTTGCTCAGAACAGGCATGTAAAGGTCTAGAGAAAATGCTGGAATGTTGTGTTCACCACATGGACGTTTTGAGAAATAGAAGACATTCCTGAGCTTTACTGAGTCTTAAAATTAGCCCCTCACCCTACTTCCAAATATCTAATATTTTGGGGTCAAGTTGGATACAAAGACTTGTACGTGACATATTTCTGTCTTTGTCTAGTTAATATGGATTGTATATTTGTGCCGAAATTATAAGACTTAGAGTATTATTTTCAAGAATTGAAGACATTTAGGACATCTTTATTTTATGACGTTCTTGGTATTATTGCATATTTGTTCTTGTTTGAAAATACTTTTAAGTTTATAGCCATTTACCTAAATGTAAGCACACTGTACACTACAAAGCACACTGTAAAACCTGAGGATTGTTCAAAGCACTGCAATTCTTTACCTTCCTAAAACCATAACTATGTGAGAGAACAAAAGTTTTTGCTTTTTTGACTTTATCTTGCTTTGCAGCAGTTTTCAGAGGTAGATTGAATTAGTGAATCAGCTTTTATATTTCTACTAGAGTTTTGTTTACTGAGTGATTAAAGAAACTGGGTTATTGATGACCGCTCAAAGTGACTTAGAGGAGAAGTGCCTCTGTGATTTGTTGTGACTTAGAAATAGTATTGAGCAGGCAGGCAAGGTTAAGAAACACGGTGGCTTTTGTGTGTCGCTGAGTGGGTATTAAGCCTCAGGAGTTTAGTTTCAGGTTTCTGACAATCCTGTTCACAGGTGTTAGAATCCTGTAGTCCCATGTCTCAGTCATCTCAACATTTCTCATTTCTAACTTAAAAACATGTCCATTAAAAAAATTTAAGGTACCATTCATTTCATCTGAAATCTCTCATAAATCTGACATAATTTGGTTTCGAAACAATAACCAAATAATTTAGTTTCATTTATATGCTGAGAATAACAACTGGTATTTATTGTTTATACTTATGCAATTTTATAGATGGAGTTTTGACATTGAATGCGGAGAACACTAATTATGCCTGTCAAGTTCCGAGCTTCCATAAATGTGAAATCTGTCTGCTATCTTTTCCAAAAGAGTCCCAGTTTCAACGCCACATGAGGGATCACGAGCGAAATGACAAGGTATGTATATTAAAAAGGGATGTCAGAAATGTGAGCGTTGAAACTGGAGGAACTGTGAAAATCAACATGCAAACATTTTTCTTATTCCTAAATTGTGGAACATTCCATATTATGTAGATAAATATTTTGATGTATTGTTTTTAGTTGTAGTTGTATTTCTACCCATCATTAGATAATGAGAGAAAGTGAGAGCTAGTCTGGTGAATCTAATGAAGTTATTTATGAGTGGACAAAGAAATAATCTTAAAATATGACTTTCTTCAGTAGTTTCAATTTCCCTTATCTTTTTTTTTTTTTTTTTTTTTGTTTTGCGGTACGCGGGCCTCTTACTGCTGTGGCCTCTCCCGCTGCGGAGCACAGGCTCCGGACACGCAGGCTCAGCGGCCATGGCTCATGGGCCCAGCCGCTCCGCGGCATGTGGGATCTTCCTGGACCGGGGCACGAACCCGTGTCCCCTGCATCGGCAGGCGGACTCTCAACCACTGCGCCACCAGGGAAGCCCCAATTTCCCTTATCTTGATGTGTTTTTCTCCAGCAGGGAGTGTTACCTTTAAGTGGTCTTGCCTTTTAAGAAGTTACTTGAGATGTTTTAGATCTTATTTCCGCAGGGAGCAGCGCTCTCTTGAATAGGGATTTGAACTCTCTTGCAAGTGTGCCCCTTGTGGGGTATGTCAGGCGTGTTAGTGTGCTAATGGAACGAGCTGCCTGAGAGTTGGAAAGTGGCAGTTAAAACTACAGTGAAAAGAGTGATTGCCGACTTTTCTCTAGGTTAGGAGGATGTAAGCTAGTGAGCCATCTGAGACCAGAAAAACACCAGGGATCTCTTTTCTGGAGGACGGGATCTGACCAACTCCAGCCTTACTTTCGGCATGAATGATGCTGCTGTAACTATGATAATGTGGTACTGACACCAGTACCCGCTGGCGTTACTCTCCCAAGCTGAAAAATCTGAAAATACTGACCCATTAGGGTCTTGATATTTACAAGAGAAATACCAGTGATTACTTTATCTTTCTACTAGTAAGTGGCAGAATACCTTCCATTTCGGGGATATTTTAGATGGGGATAAGCAACTCTGTTAAAATCTAGTGAAAGTTTTCACAATTACTGAGTTTACTTGAAGTGATTTTGTTTACAGCAGTGGAGTTGTCATAAAAGAAGGGAAAAAATCCCACCCAGTGAGTTGAAGTGTCTCACTTTTATTTTCATAGCGGCTACATTCTGATACATTTATATGCAGCATTTCTTATTAGAAATATTTTCTATATAGATGTGGTGTCTCCTTATACTCCTTTGAGAAATTCTGTAAGGAGCTTTACTGTGTCCGTTTTGGATTTATTGACTTCAGGTCCAGAAAGACTTCAGAAGTTCCTTAGAAAGCTTATCTGTGGATTATGGTGCTTGTTAATATTTGAATGACATTTATTGTGGAAGGATTGTGTTTCAGTGGCTTCTCGACTTTTTTCTCCACCTAGCCACATCGATGTGACCAGTGCCCCCAAACCTTTAATGTTGAGTTCAACTTGACACTTCACAAATGTACCCACAATGGGGAGGATCCTACCTGTCCTGTGTGTAACAAGAAATTCTCCAGAGTGGCTAGTCTCAAAGCACATGTTATGCTGCATGAAAAGGAAGAGGTAATTATTTCAGCCTATACTTTGTTCACTGATTTTTAAAATGCATCTGATCCTTAGTCAGGAGGATGTTAGGGTTAAACTAGTTTTAAAAAGCCTTTCGTATAGGTTTCAAGGAGTCAGTTATCATTAAATTTGCCTTGGCTAGTCTCCAGGTCACTGGTAAAGTGTTTATTTCGGGGTCATGTCAGCACCTTGGGACAGAGACATTTTAGTGTGTAGTATATTGGGGGGATCAAAGTATGTCCACAGTGGCTGGCAGAGGTGCCCCCCACTCTTTTTTTCTTAATAAAAATTAACTTTTTTAGGATTCTGGGTGGACAAAAGTAAATTTTCTGCCTCTGAAGATGGTAGAATCTCCTTGCTTGGCTCCTGGATCCCCTGACACGTGGGAATTTGGGAGAAGAGAGGAAATTCATGATGACCCAAAGCAGTTTATGTACCACAGTGAATAGTCCTGAAAGGGCCACAGGCCCAGTCTTGGGACAGAGTGAAGGATGACAGGGACGTGCCGCTGGTGTGCACCAGAGAGGCCTGCCTGCTCCTGGGATGGGCGGGCTCACTGTGATCTATACACGGCTGTTGCTTAAAGTATTACCCCGCATTGTTACCATAGAAAGCTAGGGAAATGCAAATGTAAAAAGCAGTCACCCAGGGATAATTACAGATAACTATTTGGTATAGTTTTTCCTCCAGAGACAGAAAAACGTACAGCGTTTAAATTGCATATATAAAATTTGCATCCTGAAAATTGAGTTTATTATACTTTGTATATCGGTTTGTGCCCTCTTTTTATGTCTTTAAGTTTTTATATAAAATAATTTATTTTTATCTTTTAAAATCTTATTGTATAAGTAATACATGTTTATTTTGGAAAAAGTTAGAAACTAAAGATTAACAAAAGTAACATAAAAGTACCAGTAATCACACCAGTGGGAGAGAACGCATATGCAGCTGACCTTTGAACAACGCGGGTCTGAACTGTGCGGGTCCACTTAAACGTGGAGTTTTTCAGTCAGTATGTATGACAGTACTACATGGTGCGGAGTTGGCTGACTCCAAGGGTGGGGAGCCGTGGACGTGGAGGGCCACCCTGAAGTTATGCTCGGATTTTCAACTGCACGGGGGTCGGCGCTCCAGACCCTTGTGTTGTTCAAGGGTCAGCTGTGTAGTCTTTCAGGCTTTTTTTTTTTTTTTTTGGCTAGAAATATACTTTCCATAATAGTTTATATACTTAAGGATAGTTTTTTTAGTGCAAAAACATACTGTTCTGTAACCCACCCTTTTCCTTTAATACGTTGTGAATACATCTTTTCCTCTTTCACCTACTGAGTCATGAGTGTTTTCCCCATGTCACTATGTTAAATTGCTTCTGGATATAGCATCATGATATTTTTACCATTTCCTTTATTATTTAACCTTTAAGTTGTTTATACTTTTTCAGTATTATAAATAATACATCTTTGCATGTATCTTTAATTGTTTCATTAGGATAGATTCCTAGAGTTGGATTTACTGAATTAACAAGGCTTTTTTCAAGTTCTTTATAGAATGCCACGTTATGTTTTCGAGAGCGCATGCTGCTTTATACCTTCTCCTGCAGACTGTAGGCCTGCCTGTCTCACTCAGCTGTAGCGCTGTCCAGAAATGGCCATTGTTTTCGTTTTAAAAGGCAGAAAGTGTTTAATTTTGGAATAAGTTCACACAGTGAGACTCAGCAGAGAAAGGGTTAGAGAATGAGACTTAAGTCTCCATCAGGCCCGACTTTCAGTTCTCCTTCCAGGAGCTGCCTGCACAGCAGTCTCTTCTGCATCCTCCCAGGGGCTTTCAGTACGCGTACACATCTCTGCATTCCCGGTAATACCACCCAGTAGCAGTATTCTGTGCTTTTTCTTCATTTGACTCTATCTTAGGTATTGTTGCAGCAGTCGCATGGTGTTACATTGTATGCATTGTGTACACCTGTGTCATAATCAACAGTGTAGGTTGTTTCTGCCCTTTGTGTGTAGCTGCAGTGAGCAGTCTATTCATTGACAGGTTCTGGCCCTTATGATTTGCTTAGAAATGCTTCCCAAGTGTACAGTCACTATTGTGTAAAATCCCACCGTGTCTTCTAATGCAGGTCCACAAGGTGTAGGGCGCACCTGTATTTCAGAAATCCTGAGTTCACACTCATTCCTCCAACCCCAGCCCCTCTGCACAGGGCGCCCACCTGCCCCCCAGTTCCTGGTTGTGTGTCCCTTCCTCCACGGCGGGGCGGGGCTCCCAGCAGTGCACACGCCCCTCCCCTCGTGTGCTCGGCGGTCCTGTGTTAACACTGGAAGTCGTTTCACAGTTGCTTGGCCCAAACCACTGTACATGAAGTGCGTTTCGGATTTGAGGTCAGTACAGGGTTGTTGCATTCGTTTGCTTTCTCTTTTAGGCCCCCTTCCCATTCTTACAGTCTGATCTGCGGCCCTCAGTTCACTGCCCTCAATTAGGGTCGGGCTCGTAAGACCAGAGATAGCCCCATGCAGGCAGAGTAGGGATTGAGGGCTGGGGAGGTACTCTTTGAACATTAGGGTAGTAAGTAGTAGCCGTCAGAAAGATACAAACAAGGGGCACTCAGGAGACTGGCTCCTTTCTGTAAACCCGCCCCATTCCTGGGACCACGTTCTTGGTTTTCAGTTTGACTTTGCTGTGTTTCTCTTTGTAATGATAACACAATTATTTTACTTTTCTGGTTTATTATTAATGTGGACTTTAGAAATTTGCCTAATTAAAAATTAATTGGTATTTTAATTTTGATTGCATTAAATTTTTAGATTGTTAAAGGAGAGAATTGAACATGTTTAAAATATTGAATCTTTATTGTCAAAACATTCAGTAATGTTTTGTTCAGATGGGTTCAGCACATTATTTAAATTTGTTCTTAAATGTTGTAATATTCTTTTAAAATATCATTTAACGGCTCTTTCAAATATGTATTATTTGTTATCTGTCTATAGGAAAGCAGTGCATTTTTGTATATTAGTTTTGTAGCCTGCTGTTCTACCAGATTCTCTGAGTTTTCAGGTGTACAACCTCATCTACAAGTAATAATTAGGTGATGAGATTTTTGGTTTTGTTTTGTTTTCACCTAGTACATGGGGGGTTTTAAAGTAAACCAGATCTCACCCCTCGAATTTTCGAACAATTTTGAAATAGTTGCAGGCATCATGTTACTACTGCACCTCTAAATACTTCAGTTGTATCCCCTAAAAACAAAGACACTTTTCCTCATTATCACAGAACAGTTACCACACTCAAGAATTTATTGCTCTAATAATCCATCTTCAGACGTCTCCATCGGGAGGGGCAAGGACTGACTTCCTATGAGAGTAGGTGGAGAAGGGAGTTGTGAGCAGAAGAGATACTTGTGCCTTTGACCCTAGAAGAAAAGCGCGAGGACAGGTTCAGGTGGACAGGGGACGCAGGTGTGACAGTGGGAGTCCAGGCCCTTCCTGCTGGCTTAGGGCAGCTTTCCCTTTCTCGGTCTGCAGCTTCCTTAGTCTCTGTGTCTCAGCAAGTTTTCCACTGAGCCAAACACTACGAGTTCTTTTTCTGAAGTCGTTAAATCTAAGAGGTCCAATAAGTATCTACGTCTTAAGTAACTTAGTAGCCATTTGAAAAACTACCGTATGTAAATTGGGTACTTTGTAGCTTTTTAAACCCTGCAATTTCCTGTTTCACATGGATTTTCACTCATTCCCTGCTTTTTAACCACAGCAACTACTGAAAGCCAGCTTCACAGTGTTACGATGTCATTGAAACTGAACGGTATTGAGCCAGTCGTCCGTGGGATGTGGGACGGTTGTCGAGGGTCATGTGTCTTCCCTTGAGGGCGTCTGCTGTCCCTTGGCCCCTGCGAGTCTGTCATGGTCACTGCCACCTCCCTCTCGGGCTGGATTGGGGCTACAGAGCCTCATTTTTCTCTGTGAAATGGAGATGTTGCCTTGTCTTCACAGAAGAATGAGGTGGTGGAGAGAGGCATGGGTGCGGGAAGCCTGCTTTTGGGAAGTGGGAGCAGAGCCTGACCAGGGACAGATACGTGGGTTGTGTTACACGTAATACAGGGGTTGTGGCTGCAAACGGATCTGTGTGTGTTGGGTGGGAGGGGAGCATGTGGCTTCTTCACGGTGCCCTTCAGCCCGGCAGGGGGTCAGATGGTTGTTTGCATCAAGGTTCCGGTTTACGAAGCGTGTGTGACGGGATAGCGAATGAGTCAGGTGTTGGCAGAGGGTTGAAACGATGTAACATGCGGTCTAGGCCGCATCAGCAAGGGGGTGAAGCCTTGGTGTGTGTGTGTGTGTGTGTGTGTGTGTGTGTGTGTGTGTGTGTGTGTGTGTGTGTGTGTGCGCGCGCGCGCGCGTCAATCCTCTAGGGGGCTCATGGCGGCGGGTGGGGTGGGGGGAGATGATTGAAGCGGTTCCACCTGTCCCGGTGCCCTGGGTGGACCCAGCCCTGGGGGTGATGGCATAGGGCGGGTGTGCCCCTGAGCCGGGGCCCCGCACCTCTGCCAGCCGCACACCACCACCGATGGAGGCCAGCGAAACTGTTGTGCTCCATCCTAATGCTTCTTCAGATACACCTTTAAAATTTTTCTCTATCTCCTCCATGACTGGAAAGAGAAATAACGGTGATTCATCATTTCCAGACACTCTTAGGTTTTTATACATTATTTTCAAAACCTTCCCTTCATTCTATTTTCTCTTCCACACCCTTTGTCCAGATTCTTTTCCAGACTGTCCCCCAAGTGGAGCTCACAGTCTCTGATGTCTGCTTTTACCCCGTTTCCTTGTGTCGGTTTCTCGTTGCTGTGACGTCGTCTCCTGAGGTGGCAGCCCCGTCATGTGCAGCAGCTGTGATGGCAGCTTGTGCAGCCTGGTCTCATCTGAATCCCTGCTGCGTTGGTGAAGCTCCAGCTGTCTTTGTCTTTCACTGTTGTAGGAGCGTAAACAGTTCATAGTTTCTGACTCCAGATTTTTTTTTTTTTCCAAAAGGCCTTTGAGGAACGTAAACGGTTCATAGTTTCTGACGCCCAATTATTTTTCCCCAAAAGGCCTTTGAGAAGCGTGTATTTTCTGAAACCAGTTGACTTTCATTTCTGTTACTACTAACCTGTCTTCTGTTTTCTCTCTTGGAATATAACAGATTCTCTCTTAGATCAGTAAATAATCACAGGAGAGGAAAAGGGTTGGAATAGTCAGAAGAGAGGCTTTTGTGTAACTGTGGTTTGAAGCTGGGAATGGAGACTGTGAAAATGCTTTATCTTCTTGCCCTTGCGCCACTGTGCTGCCAGGGAGAAGGCTCTGGAAGTTGAGAAGTGATATTCAGTAACTTGACCTTAGTAACCCCATGCTGAACAGGAATTCAGGACTAGCGGTTTCACATGAGCAGAACAACGACAACAAAAAAGGTTTGCAGTGCTTATTTCTGATGGGAAAATGTGTTGGCAATATGTAAAAACTCGGGTGCTCTTTTAAAAAAAAAGGGTTGCGTTCGGGTGCAGGTTCGGAGTTTTCCTCTCTCACCTAACAGTCTGGTGTCGTACAGTACAGAGCTGGTGGTGTGGCCGAGGTAGTCCGGGACCCCACGTGCTCTGCTCTCTGTGAGTGTTTCTTGTACCACGTGGCTTACAGCGGAGGGAGGGAGGGAGGTGTCGCGTCTGCTGTGGGAAGGCCAGATCCAGAGGCAGGCGGAGCATCAGCCTGCTGCCATCCCGTCGAGCGGAAGGGGCACGGTTGCCACACAGGGTGGTTAGTGTTAGGAAGGTCGGCACACAGCCATGTGCTCGGCTAAGAAACCCATTGTTGTATAGAAGAAGAATAGATACTGGAACATGATTTTCAGTCTTTTCCACGTATGTTAAATAATGCATTTTAGCCACCTTTGCCTATTTTGTATGTTTTCATTTTTTAGTTAATTGATTTGAATGTGGTATATTAGTATCGACTACAGGAACAATTCCTTACCTTTAGTTGCACTTAAAATTAACCGATAAGAACCGATAAAAATTAACCGATAAGAATAACAGCTAAGATGAAGGAGACCCTTTGTGCCCCTCTTACAACTGAAAATACATAGAGGTCATCACACAGCCGAGAGATCTGGAGGCTCCTGAGGGTGGGAACAAGGAGGCAGGCCGCTGAGGGCTTTCAGGACTTGAGGAACGTGTGGCAGTGAGTCCCCTGAGCTGCTTTTTTGCCTGCTGTACACCTGGACAGGGTGCTGGAAGAGCCTGTAGCCTTCTGCCAGCAGGCGTAGATGAAAACACGCCAGAAGATTGGTTGCCAACAGCCCAAACTGGGAAGAGGGTGGTCTCACAAGAGAAAACCTTGTTGGCACTGCCAACCCTATCCCAGCCAAATACCCACTGAAGAGCTCAGCGGGGCTGGAAGGAGAGCGATCGTCTACGCCAGCCTGCTCCCCTGCAAGCAGATGGCCCTCTGCTCCCCTGACCCCCGGAATTCAGTAGGGAGCTAATCTTGCGTCTGTCTCCTGGCGGAAGGAGGTGGCACCCAGATCGCGCCCCCC